TATGAAGATTTTGAAATTAATTGTAAGAAATCCTCCTGTGGGAAAGTTTTGTTGACTGGAAAATAATCAGAAGATAAGAGGGGACTTGAAAGTTGACTAGAGAGAACAAACGATTACAATTAAAGGAGAAGAGACCCATTAATACAATGGAGCAATACTATTTGACTATAGAAGAAAATAAGGCTGTTTGGGAACAACGTACTCAGAAATTACTTACAAGATTATCTTATACTATAGCAGGATATAGAAGAACAACAGATTTTATTGGATAAAATGGAAACGGGTTGATTTAAATGTGGATTTGGGGTTTAAAAAAATGTTGGATTATAAAAGTGCTGTGAAAAAAGATGCTGTGGATCTGAAAATGGATTTTTAAATGCTAGCGTATAGGAGTGATATGGAAAAAGATGTCAGAATGGATCTACAAAACCAACTGATGTCATAATAATTAAAGGAGAAATACAAATAAAAAATCAGAAAAGTGACTTGGAAAGCCTTATCTTGGATTTACAAAAGGAATGTGTTAAACCAATGAAGCTGCTTTTGAGAGGAGACAAAGAGAAACTACTGAAGCTGTTCCTAAAAGGAGATGCGAAAATGATAAGAAATCAACTTGTTTGACAGGATTAAAGATCAAGCTTTTAAAAAGTAAACAGAAGGTTTACAAAGTGAATTTATTCGAGCAGGGTTAAAATATATGTAGTGGTTTCTGTTAGTTATTAATGGGATTTTTTTCTACAAGGACTGAATGACAAGGTTTTAAGGATCTGTTTATAAGTGGGGAAAGATTTCTTTTGCTTTGCTTCTTACAGAAAGTGATAAATTGAATTACAAAATAGATTTCTTTAATTAAGATTAAAATACATATGTTATTTCTGGTAGCTCTTAATAGACTTCCTAATTAGGACTGAATGATGAGTTTTTAAAATTAGATTATTGATAAGGGATGATATATAAGAAGAAGAGGATTTTTTAAAATTGAAATACTAGAAAAGGTGTTAAGTTACTGAAATTGTTTATACTTGTCTGGAGGGGCAGGGGAGTCATCTTTTATACAGTATATCTTTTTCCTTTTTTCTATCTCGTTACACCTTTTTTTCTTTATTTTTTATATTTTCCTTAGTTTGTATTAGTCTTTCATCTTTGTAGTTGTAAACTCTAATAAAATTATATTCAAGATTGCTAAAAGAGAGATTGGGAAGAAAAGCTGATTAGAGAGAAAAGTTGATTTGAGGGAGATTCTGGGCAGAGAGCTCTCTGGTGGAAACAGGTGGAAGTTGCTGGCTGATAAATCTTGATGGAACAGAGAGGGTGGGGGATCTTTGGGAAAAACAAAGATGGAGACAAGTTGCTGAGAAACATCTCTGGAAAGGAGAGAGACTGAAACAGGAGCATGAAAGAATTACTTCTAAGCCTCTGAATCGTTTGGAGTCTGGTATATCCTAGAAAGACAGTAGTAACTTTTATTGCAGAAATCCATTTGTTGCCAAGGTATAGGTTCACTAATTCAGGTAGAATTCTTTATAAGGATATTAACCTTTATTTTATGGGAGCTAAGTCTGCTTGATTATTTCTTGTAACTTTTGTAGCTAAAGGTTATTGTTCTCGAACAAAGCAAGCTCACTTATATATTTTTTAACACCTTAATCTGATCCTTAGGTGTCGCCCTCTAGAACTGAAATTTATTGTAATTTGTGCTAATTCAAGTCTTGAATGTTTTGTGCCATCTTACAGCTTTTGAATCTTAGATCTTACCCGCACACCTCAAACTTACTAAGGAGTAATGCTACAGAGTTTAATTTCCATTCTTCATTATTTATTAAACATATTTGTATGGCGTTGCAATATAATGCAATGACTTTTGTCAGCTCACATAAAAATACAATATAAAACAGTCCACATTTAAAAATTTAAAACACAAGAAAAATAGAAGGAGAATAAAAGATGGCAATAACAATTAAGGTCAGGGGAAGGCTCTGAAAAAGCTCAGACTTTAGAAGCTTGAGGAAAATGAGAATGTTATTGTCAGAAAACGACAGACACAGGTTCGGTTGTCCAGTAGACAGAAGTTTTTTACTGGGCACGTTTGCAAAGGTGGGTCAATGGTGCAATGGAGGAACCCCGAAACAAGGTCTGACAGGTTTTTATACCCCCTATCTGTCCTCCCCCTCCTAAGAGGGCTTGGCTCACAATCCCCCCTTTTTTTACCGCCCCAGAGTGCCGCTAAATAACCGCAAAACCGCAGACATTCCACTTCCTAATCCAATCAGCGCAATACACACTGCAATACTCACTTGACCCAACAGCCGCCCCCTGCCGTTTCTCTTCACTCTGGTGCGAACATGCCTCCTG